AGGATTTTAAACTTTCATAAGAAGACCAGAATTGAACAAATAAAATTGATCTCCAATAGCAAGACCCAAGAGAAGCCTAAAGAGGGAAAAGGGGGAAAGAAAACATAAGGGACTCAGTAAAGCTGCAATGTTTACATCCCTACATGGGAAGATGATATTTGTAATTCTTGAAAATTGTGCCACTAATAGCACAGTTAGAAGGATTATACATAGACAGAGGGTATTGGTATAAGGTGAATTTGAGGGAATGACATAAAAAAAATTAAGAGATGAGGAAGAGGAGTACACTGGGTACCGAAGGAAGGGAGAAGTAGAATGGGGTAAATTATCTCACATGAAGAGGCTCGAGAAACCTATTACGGTGGAGGGAAAGATGGGAGGGTGGGCAATGGGCATTGCTTGAACCTTACTCTCATCAGTATTGACTCAAAGAGGGAATAATATACACAATCAGTTGAATATAGAAATTTATCTTACCTGACAAGAAAGTAGGAGGGGAGGAGATTAAGTAAACGAGGAGGGAGACTGACAGAGGAGAGAGCAGATTGGGTGAGGCTGTAGACAAGTAAAACACCATGGAGGAGGGAGAGGATGAAAGGAGAACAAATGAAGAAAAATAGGATGCAGGCAAATACACAGATGGTAGTCATAACTGTGAATGTGAATGGGATGAACTCTCCCATAAAATGGAAGCAGATAGCAGAATGGATCAAAAACCAGAATCCTACAATATATTGTTTACAAGAAACACACTTGAAGCAGAGAGACACACAGTGTAAAGTGAAGGGGCTAGAGCAGCATCTATGATGCTTCAGCTGAAGTTAAAAAAAAAAAGCAGGAGTAGCAATCCTGATCTCAGACAAAACAAAATTGAAAATAGACCTAATTAAAAGAGATAAGGAAGGAAGCTACATCTTGTAAAAGGTACCATAGGAAATGAAGTAATATCATTACTAAACATATATGCACCATATGTGTGTGTGTGTGTCATCTAAATTGTAAAAGGAGAAATTAAGTGAGTTACAGGATGATGACCAAAAAAGAGATAAAGAGCATTATGAAATGTAAAATAGATAATTTTGATTATATTAAATTTAAAAAACCTTTTGTACAAACAAAACCAATGCAACTAAGATTAGAAGGAAAGCAAAAAAACTGGGAAGCAATCTTTACAGTGTCTCTGATAAAGGTCTCATTTCTCTAATATATAGAGAACTGAGTCAAATCTATAAGAATACAAGCCTTTCTCCAATTGATAAATAGTAAAAGGATATGAACAGGCAGTTTTCAGATGAAGAAATCAAAACTATCTATAAGCATATGAAGAAGTGCTCTAAATCACTTTTGACTAGAAAAATGCAAATTAAAACAACTCTGCAGTACCACCTCACACCTATCAGAATGGCTAATATGACAAAAAAAACCGAAAATGATAAATGTTGGAGAGGATGTGGGAAAATTAGGACACTAATGCTTTGTTGGTGGAGTTATGAACTGATCCAACCATTCTGGAGAGGAATTTGGAACAATGCCCAAAGGCAATCAAACTGTGCATATCCTTTGATCAGCAATACCACTACTAGGTCTATATCCCAAAGAGATTATAAAAAAAGGGAAAGGACCTGTATGTGCAAAAATATTTATAGCAGCCCTTTTCATGGTGGCAAAATATTGGAAATTGAGGGGTTGTCCATCATTTGGGGAATGGCTGAATAACCTGTGGTGTATGAATATAATGAAATACTATTATGCAATAAGAAATGATGACCAGGCAGATTTAAAAAAACAAAACCTGGAAAGACTTGTATGAATTGATGCAAAGTGAAATGAGCGGAACCAGGAAAACAGTGAACACAGTATCAGCAACACTGTGTGATGATCAACTATGAATGACTCAGCTCTTCTCAGCAACACAGTGATCCAAGACAAGTACAGAGGACCCATGAAGGAAAATGCTATCCATATCCAGATAAAGAACTGATGGACTCTGAATGGTGATCCAAAGCACACCTTTTTTCACTTACTTTATTCTTTTTTGTGTTTTTTTTCCCTTTTGATGTGTTTCTTCTTTCACAACTATGACTAGTATGGAAATAGGTTTTGTATGGTAGCACATGTGTAACCTATATCAAATTGCCTACCATTTTAGGAAGAGGGGAGGGGAAACATGGAGAGAAAAAAATTTGAAACTCAAAATCTTTTAACAATGAATGCTAAAAATTGTCTTGACATGGAATTGGGGGAAAAATAAAGTACTATTTAAAAAAAAAGATGATGTATGAGTGGTTGGGTTCTTGAAAAGAGGAATTCTGCAATGCAGAGGAAAGGAGGGATAGAAGAATCATCCCCCAGGCATGGGGAATGGCCAGAGTATGAGAACAGGAGATGGAGTATCAGGAGTAAAGATGAAAGCTTCCAAGTCTGACTACTACCCAAGAAAATCTGAAACAAAAACAAAAAATGTTTTTATTGTTATCATTGTGGATATGTCCTATATGTCTTTCAGAGCATGAGTTCAGTGCTTCAAGGCATTGCCTCCTATACAGTAGTAACTGTGCACATCTGAATACACTGATCACTGGATCTGCTACAAGAAGACAAAGTATAAAAGGCTTCTTGGCTGGGGCAGGCCTTATTTTCTGTAGCTTTGTGCCTCCTGTTAGCTTTCCTGACTGTTTTTCTGGCTGGAACCCATTGCTTTGTCCTCAATTCAATGCAACAAGCATTTATTAGACACCCATTTTCTTCTAAGTACAATGCTAGGTGCTGGGGATATAAAGACAAGAATGAAATGGAATAATAAAGTGACTAAAATGTCTATATCTTTTGACCCAGAGATTCCACTTACTAGGCTTATACCCCAAGGAGATTGTTGATAAGAAGAAAGTTACCCCCATGTGCACCAAAATACTTAGAGCTGCAATTTCTGTGGTAGCAAAGAATGTGAAACAAAGTAGATGCTCAATTGATTGTGGGAATGACTAAATGAAGTGTGGTCCACAAATAAAATGGAATATTACTGTGCTATAAGAAATGATGACTATGATGAAGACAGAGAAACAGGGGAAGACATATATGAACCAACGCAGAACAAAGTGAGCCAATTCAAGAAAATAATATACCAAATGATGAAAATAAAGTGGAAAGAACAACCATAAAACAATTGAAAGTTAATGTCACAAAATTACATAGAACCAGCATATCCCCAGAGAAGACAGATGAGAAGACTTTCCTACCATACTCCTTTGCAAAGGTCATGGGTGTGAAATATTGCATGTATTTTCAGATTGTTGATGTATTGGTTGGTTTTTGCTGATTTCTTTCATCTCTTCTTTTTTTTCCTTCCTGTAAAATATATGTATTATATTGGATGACTCTCAGGAAGGGGAAGGTGAGGGATACTTAGAGAAATCCTGGTGATGTGAAAAATAAAAGATTGATAAAATTACTTTTTTAAATGACACTGTATGACTTGGCTTCTCATTTGCTGCCTGACTGCCCATTGCTCTTTCCTTGTGAGAGTTCACCTTCCATCTGTTCCCTGGGTCTAGACCAGTTTTAAGGAGATTTGTGAACTTGGATGGGAAAAAAATTACATCTTTATTTTCACTCACCTCTAACTGAAATTTAACATTTCTTTGAATTACAACTTTAGGAAACAAACCACAATAGTACTCACAGTAAAATCACATATATTTTCATATAACATTATAATTGTTTCAGAGATCTTGGAATATCATTTAGGGTCAACACTTCATTTAAATTACTATTATTATTAGGGCTGCCACTAGATAGATTACTATATCACAAATTTTTAAAAAATTTAATAACTATGTTTCAATATAATTGGTTTCCTTTGTAATCCTCCGTATTTTATGTTATGCATTTAAAAACATTATTCTCAGAAGGGGTCCACTGACTTCATCATATTGTCAAAGGGGTCCACGACACCAAAATGTTTTAGGAATGCCTGGTGTAGACTGTCTTCTCAATATCATACATTCCAGTTTCAAGCCATACTTTGATTATCTTGGTCCTTCTGTCTCTGTCACCATATTCCTCTGCTTCCCATAACCATGCATGGTACCACCTAAGAGCCAAACTCATATTAAAGAAGCATTCCAAACAGCCATCTGCTGGTACTATCTCCTTCCACCCCCCACCTCCCCTAGTACACTATTGTCCATTCTGGGCTGGATCTCAGAAACAGCAAAGAAGAACAAAGGTATAGTTCCTAAATCCTGACCAATCTTTCTCTAGGCCTCCTCTCCTGATGGCTTTCCAGGGAAGAAAGAGCATATATATGATATATGTGTGTATATGTATGTGTGTGTGTGCATATATATATATATGCATATGTATGTGTGTATATATGCACATGTATGTGTACATGTATATATGTATGTATATACACACACATATCTGTGTGTGTGTGTGTGTGTATATATATATATATATATATTATATATATATGTATACCTTGTCTAGTTCCATATGTGTGTGTGTGTTTATTTCTCTTAGCTACGTATTTCACTGAATCCCTCTGATGAAAAGTAGTCATTTGGAGGATAATTTGTTAATAAGCCTAAAATGGAACCACCATAATGCAAAGAGGGGGAAATGAGGTACAGGAAATATATCCATTTACTCAGACATTCTCAGCAGCCTCACTACAAGCCTCATACCACAAAACTACAAAGGTTGGTGGGGGGGTGAGGGGGTTGCAGTTTCAAGTTAATAATGAGAAACCCTCCACCAAACTTAAGTACTTTCTACAACTACTGTTGCCACAGCAACCTGATGCAGGTCCTCCATGGTGACTTTGTGTTCTAATCTCTGGAAGCTAAAATAACTTTCTCTTATGCAAATGCTTAGCCAGCAGAATAGAGATGATGGGTTACAGAAAATTAAAAGTTTTTCTTTAACTAGTGAAACTACTTTTAGCCAAAGCAAAAGAAACCTCTTAAATCTAAGTGTTTTTCTTCTTCTTTTTTTTAAAGGCATAATTTGTCAGACATTAAAATAACAAAAGGGCTTTGAGAAAGGATTATGGTTCTGAAGTCCCACCACTAGAATGAATTTACTCTCTTACTGGTGCTGTAATCTGGAATTCTAAGGTAATGTTTTAGCCCTCTCTCTTCACAGAAATAAAGATTCCAATGATAATACTTCATTCCTTCTATTGAACATGCCTTTTACCTTATTCCTAGACTTTAAGACTTGTTTCCACTGTTTCACGGGGACAATATACAAATTGGCTGCAGGGCTTTTATGGGAAGCAGGGAAGTCATTATGAAGCTTGTACTGCCAGGGAAAAGCTTAAAGACTGCAGGGTTTGAAGGGAGTGGGGGGGGAGGTGGGAGGTCCTGGGTTCCACGTCTCGTGGTTTTCCTTTAACCCTGGAAGAAAAGTTCATTTTTAGAAAGCTCAGTTTGGTTTCCTACTGAAAACAAATGGCATCACGCCCTTGGACTTCTCTGACCACCACCCCCTCCCTTCCCCACCTCCCTCCCACAGGCTGCTCTCCGAGATGCCCTTGGGGGTATGTCTGACTTTGGAAAGAAAGAGCCGATGTTGACAACCCTGGGCTGGCCTGCTAATCATATGCACCTTATTCCCCCCCACTCCCCCTCCTCCTAGAAACCTTGAAACACAGGGATTTCTACAGCTCTCTCCCAGCAGCATAGATTTAATTAGGCCTAAATCTCTTTAAAAATTCAGATATATTCCCCCCCACCCCTCCCCTCGGAAAGCAACTCCCAGAAACTACCCAGGCTTTTGAATATCTTTTGAAAAAGGAAACAGCTGTATGTAAATAGAGGCCAGTTATTTACCAACAAGAGAACAAAAAGCCCTCAGCACCTCCCTTTGGCTCTAGCTACCCTGGAGGAGAGCTCTCCAGGCAACTTCAGAGCTATTAGCATGATTGCCAACTTTGGTTGATTATTGAAAAACTCACCCTGAGCCCTGTCTTTCAATGTAAAGAAAAAAGGGGGGAAAAATACCCACGGTGTTTATATTCCTGATTTTTTTTTCTTTCTTCTTGTGACTGAAGTAAATGATGAAGTGTTTTCTGCTCCAACAGAGCCAGCAGGGAAGAAATACATGTTGTAATTACCTTAAACAAGCGGGCAATGATGATTGCTTCTCAAGCTGCATGTTTGAGGACATGATGAAAGGTGGGAAGAAGACATAGCCCTCTGTATTCTATAGCACTCATGACTTGTGAAATCCTTCATAGCATAGCTATGCACATGACCAGTAAAAGAGGAGAGGCCTGGCTTTGGAAACAGGGATAGTAAAAATCTTGGACTGTTTTCTAAATTAGAGGATGCTAACTCAGCATCAAAAATCTTGCTCCCAACCAAGCATTATGTTATTCTCGCCTGACAGGGTGATTCTTTGTTTTTTGTTTCTTAAAGATTAGGAATTACAAGAATATTTCAAGTTTTGAAATGCAGAACATTACAACTATCCAGCACCCACTGACTAGAACACTAATATAAGATCTAATCTAAATGAAGTATCCAATTAAGAAAGAATTTTATGAATTTATGAAGGTTTGGGTTCAAAGTTCCACTTCTGACACATACTAGCTGTGTGACCCTAAATCACTTAACGTCTCAGTGGTCTAGGCAATTTTCTGAGGCTATAAGGCACAGAGAAGACGCCAACTTGCCTTGACAGAGGGCAATTCCCTACACCAATGTAAATCACAGGTCCAGTTCCTATCTCTGTATTTATGGAAGCAAATTCTCACATCATTTCCAGATGTCGCTGCACAGGTAGTACCAGACATTGACTAGCAAAGGGTCTGTGACTTCCTCAGTTTGAGGTATTTCCTTAGCAGATACAATCAATCCACGATTTAGTGGATATTCCTAGGGAGCTGCCTGGCCTATGAAGAAATGCTTGGAGAACGGAGTCCTGGGGAATTGCTAGAGAAATAGAGAGGCAGGCAGACAGACAGAAAGACAGAGACAGAGAGAGAAGAGGAGAGGAGAGAGAAAGGGAGAGGGAGAAAGGAGAGAGGGAGAAAGAGAGAGAGAGAGCAAAAGAGATTGAATGGCCTGTCCAAGGTCACATGGCTAATCTGCTGTCAAAGGAGGATTTTAAACTGGGTTTTTCTAACTCTAAACCCAATACTCTACTCCCATGTCTCTTTTCGCACTGAAGTTCTACTCCAAAAACATATAGCACACACAGGTGTACTCTGCGTAATGTTCATAGAATCATGGATGTATCATTAGCATGAAGGGACCTTAGAGACCCCTTTAGTTCAGGAGTTCATCACCTGGGACCAAGGAAGTTGCTTTAAAAATATTTTGATATCTACATTTCAGTATAATTGGTTTCTCTTGCAATCCTGTAAGTATATATAATATGTATATTATATATACACATATAGATACATATATGTATATATATATATATATATATATATATAATTTTCATTTTATACATTTAAAAACATTCTCAGAAGGGGTCCATAGGCTTTGTCATATTAACTACCAAAGAAGATCCATGACCCACAAAAAGGTTAAGAACTCCCTCATAGAGTGTATACCCCCCTTATTTTACAGATGAGGAAGCTGAGGCTCAGATAGATCAAGTCGGCCAAGGTCGGTCAAGTCATAAAGGCTAGGCTTGAACACAGATCCTTGGACCCTAAAACCAGTGCTCTTTTCCCCATGCAACTGATTGATGCTGTTTTATTATACTATTGCTATTATGACAAAACCAAATGTCAATACTCTTTGTGATGTTTTAGTGGAATTCTAACCTCACTGATAAGGGCACTCCTTTTAGAAGTGCTGATCACTACCCACCCACACCTTTTCAGCCTGCATGGCTGTTGTCCATGGTTTCTCATGATTCCTCCCCAAGGGCTCCATCTAACATCCTGAAGGGGCTTCCTCTAGATCTTCTGACTTTGCTTTGGTGGAGTTGGGCTCTTTATCTGTCATCCCTCCCTACAAGATTGGCCTACCTCCTTTCTTTGTCATTTGTTTCTTTCATAATATCTTTTATTACAGATGTGCTTTGATAACACATTGCAGCCAACCCATGCCCACCATAACACTCTCCATTGCCTTTTGGGGAACCTGATAACTTTAATTATTCAGGAACTGTGTTTTTATTACATGCTTTATAGCTATGCAGCTATGGTCATATACCTATACATCCATTAGATGATAAGCTTCTTGAGAGCTAAGAATTGTTTCATTCTTTGTATTTGTTTCTCCAGTGCCTGCCTAACCCAGTGCCTGGCACACAGTAGGAACTTAATAAAAACTTGTTGATTGATTGATTGATTGGTTGATTAATTGTTGAAGTGCCTATTGGCCAGACTATGAAATGTTAGGTGGACTGTGCATAGAGCTGGTCCTATCAGTATTCCAGAGAGGACACTGAAAATGGAAAATGAACTGGGCCTAGAAATGTATGGGAGGAAGAAAACTAGCTGGATTAAAATCAGGAAATTTTACAATCTGTTTAATAACCCTCAAACTTTTCCTTGAAACAAAGGCCCATCTTTTTAACACAAGTATTCCTCCAGTGATACTTATAGTTGCAAAATCCCACCCTAATGTGAAATCCTGCTAAGACATTCTATTGCTTGAGCTATACATCCAGTTTGTGACGAGCTAACACTTAAGCACAGGAGTACATTAATTCCCTCCAATGTCAATTTGCTTGCTATTCCACTTTTAACATTGTTCTTTAGAATTAACTGACTCCTGAAACATTGCTTTACCTAATGTTGTAGTTTCACAGAGCCAAAATGTTGTTGGGTAGCCTATGCTTATATTTTGTTGTTTTCAAGTAATACATCAATTCTCAATCAAAAATACATATGAGGCTTAAATCCCTTGCTTCATCAAATGTCAAAATCTGGCTTGGTCCCAGATTTTGTTCCAATTTATTGCTTTCCCACAAAATCATTCTATACGATATGAACAAATATATGGTATCACTTTTTTCCTAATAAGATACATTTTTTTAAATGATTAAATTCATCATACAGAGTTTCTTTGCCCAAATAATTCATCCTTTATTAAGTGAAGTTTGCTATAGTCAAGAGTAGAAATGTGATCTAATGATCCTTCATGTATCCTGCCTTTAGGGTTTTGTTGTCTGTTGGATATCTTTGTTGTTTTCTCCTCTTGAGAGGTGTGGCAAAAATTTTTCTTCTAATTTTTCAAATACCAAGTGTATCCAGTGTTCTTACTACTTCTAATTAATGTGAGACTAGAGAATCAAAGAGGGTATCCCTCCAATGAGTTGTTTTTTGAAGAGTGACAAATTAATCCCCTTGGATATGACTCAAGGCAAGAAAGATCTGTTCTGTTTTGTTTCACCAACTCCTGCAATTAGATGTGCAAAACTTCCATTTTTAGGAAAGAGTTGGGCAATAAATTTCTTCCTCTATGAGCAAAGGAGATTTCAAGGGAATAGTTCTGAAAAGAAATATATATTTTAGGAAACTGAAAAGACATTGATATTTTTACCATCTAACTTCATGAAGCACAGAGCTCTGCACGTAGTAGGTGATGATTTCACTACAACCCTCGATAGGATCAGCCAGAGTTCACACTCCATTTCAAGAACTTGGGGTCACCTCCATGCCCTGCTAAGAAAGAGAAATAAGATTTTAGTGGACAAAATGCTTAATAAAGTTTATTAAATGAATGACTTTGGATTTCTTCACATGTGAAGAAATTTCTTATCCAGAAATAATCAGAATATAATTTGTTATTATTCTCTGTTATAGCTATACTCCACATACTGTGTTGAGGCAGCTAGATGGTGTAGTGGATAGAGTGCTAGGCCTGGAATCAGGAAGACCTGAGTTCAAATACAGCCCCAGACACTAGCTTTGTGACCCTGGGCAAGTCACTTAATCTCTATCAGTCTGTTTCCTCCACTATAAAAAGCAGTAATAGTAGCACCTATGTCACTGGGTTGTTGTGAGGTTCAAATGAGATAATATTTGTGAAGCACTTAAAGCCTGGCACATAGTAGGTGCTTCATAAATACTTGTTCCTTTTCTCTTCCCTCCATTGAAGAATTCTTCCCTAAGGAGATGGTCTTATGAAAATATTAGTATGGAAATAAGAGGGTTTTTTTTAATTCTTCCTTAAACCCCTCCACTCACTCGCTGCTCTACCACTTCCACCATGGTTCAGAAAATTTGTAGCAGTACAAATCTGTACATACAGGTCAAGAAAAAGGGGCCTACAACTGATCCATGAAACAATGGTTAGATGTGCAACTCAGAGTGTATATTTCAGCCATGGAGCATCCCTGCTCTGACCTGGTTTGCTTAGCCCAGCTCAATGCAAGGCCACCTTTTTCTGACTTGTTGACCTTGCCCCCACTCACCCCAGTCAAGGGTGACCCAAGGACCCTTGGGTCTTCCACGTCTGAACTATACCACTGAGGTGCCTCATAGTCATCAAACTGATTCATCTCTACAAACAGTTATTCATTTTCCCTGCCTGATCAGACTAAATCTCTAAGAGAGGCCATGTGAAGGAATCTTCTTTTTTCACTTGTCTTGGGTCCATGGACAGGACAAAACTGATACACATTCCTTATGTAGTGGAGTAAAATGTTGGGTTGGAGGAAGGAAGGATGAGTTTTAGTCCCAAGTCTGCCATTATCTCTGTGGGACCTTCAGTAAGTCAGCTTGATTCTCAGGGTTATAATATCTTCCTTTATAAATAATCAGTTTTGTTGTTGTTGTTCAGTCATGTCTAACTCTTTGTGATCCCATTTGGGGTTTTTTTTGGCAAAGATAATGGAGTGTTTTGCCATTTCCTTCTCTAGTTCATTCTATAGATGAGGAAACTGAGGAAAACAGGGTTAGGTGACTTGCCCAGAGTCACACAACTAGTAAGTGTCCAAGGTCAGATTTGAATGCAGGTCCTGCTGACCAGTACCGGTGCTCTATCCACTGCACCACCTAGCTGCCCCTATTTTGAGAAATTTCTTAGAGCAATTATTCTTTAGTTAGGTTATATAAAATAGAGAGAGGTATAAGTTCAGACACAAAAGAAAGTCAATAAATGCAGAAGCCAGGAGTCATTGTCTAAAGTCATCTTTTCATGAAGACACAGAGCTAGTCCTATAGACTAAGGCAGAGGTGGGGAACCTGCAGCCTCAAGGCCACATGTGGCCCTCTAGGTCCTCGGTAAAACTTGGACTCAGTCGAAAGGCCACACCCAAGAACCTATAAGGTCACAGGTGACCTCAAGGGCTCAGGTTCCCCACCCCTAGGCTAAGGGTTATAAGCTTGAAGGCAGGATCTATCTAATCACTAATCTGTACCTACTTTTGTGCCCAAATGGGTCTTTTTAGATTCCAACTCACTAATCACTGGAGGCCCTGGGTTCATGTCATGGTTATGAGAATCTCTTTTTCTAGTCAATGACTTGGGTCGATTCTTATAGCTTAACAAAACTGCCTTTTAAAAGCCATGTGCTGGGAAATGAGACCGTGAATGTGAGATGTTTGCCAAGCAGGAGTCCTCATGATGGTAAGGACCTAAGTTTTGAACTGGTAAAGTGGTAGCCAACCAGAATAGATTATCTGTGAAGTCCTAGGTACTGAATACAACCTTTTCCCCCACTCATTCACCCTGTGGCACACTTAGTCAACATTCCAGCCAGTCAAGTGGAAACTTGGGGGCAGGCCTGCCACTGAGCATGCATGATGGCAGGCATGTTCTCTCCCCCATTTCATAGCATAAATGCAGAAACTGAGGCTCCTTCTGAAGTGGTGGTGACTTACCCACAGATACATGGTTAATAACTATCAGATCTCTGGCAGTAGGGCCTGCTAGGCGGTAAAGCGCTGGACCTGAAGTCAGGAAGACTCATTTTCCTGAGTTCAAATTTGGCCACAGACACTTAGTAGCTGTGTGACCCTGGGCAAGTCACTTAGCTCTGTTTGCCTCAGTTTCCTCATCTGTAATTAAGCTGGAGAAGGAAATGGCAAATCCAATATACTCCAAGATCTTTGCCAAGAAAACCCCAAACGGGGTCACAAAGTGTCAGATGTGACCAAACAACAGTAACAGCCCTGATTCCAGTTCAGGTCATCTCACCTCCAGACTGAGTGCTTTTCTCTCCCGGTTCACATTGCCTCAACACCCAGATCTTAAAAGCAGCTTCAGAAGAGGCATCCCTTAAATCTTTGGGTATTTATGAAGGAGGAAATTCATTCATCAAGAAGAAAGATTGGTAAAACTAACATCACTGCTCTTCTCCCCTTTGAATTCTCCACTCTCCTCCATTACTTCCATGACCAACCTAGGAAGCTAAGGAAAGACAAGAGTTACTTTGGGAAAATGCTGGATTTATAGTCAGAGAATGTGAGTTTGAATCCTGGCACTGCCTCTTACCACCTGTGTGATCTTGGGCGAGTCAAACTGAGAGGACTGTACTAAGTGACCCCTGCCTAAGGCTAGGCTAGAGCCAGCTTAGCCCAGCTCTTAGTACATTTTCAATGTTATCATTTGTATCTGGGAAATCAGCAAGTCAGTGCTTTAGTGTTTTGTTGATTTCTAGTCATAAAATGACAGAGAAAAAGTTAATAATAATTTCAAGATTAAACTGGAAAATGTATTGTGCTTTCTGGAGAGCTGATTGTTAAACATTTACCAGCACACCCTTGCCTCTAAGGTCCTTTCCAACTCAAAATTATGATACTGTAATGTGCTCTGGGCTGCCATTGGATATATTTTAATTTCCACTTGACCGGCTTGTTCTTGGTGTTGTTCAGTCATGTATGACTCTTTGCGACCCCATTTGGGGTTTTCTTGGTAAAGATACTAGAGTGGTTTGCCATTTTTTTCACCGCATTTTACAGATGAGGAAATTGAGGCAAACAGGATTAAGTGACTAGCCCAGGGTCACACAGTTAAGTGTCTGAGGCCGGATTTGAACTCAGGTCTTCCTGACTCCAGTCTACCCACAGTGTCACCTCACTGCTCTTAGGGCTTGTTCAGCAACTCCATTCCTGCTCAGAGGCCAAATAATAGGCTAAACAAAGTGGCCCAAAAAGATGTGAAAGGAAGCCACAAATTCAATGGAAAACACAAACCAACTAGGTAATTATTTTATTTAACTGTATAGGCCATTTGTATATTTGATTCCATGTTTTCACTTTTCAGTTGGTTGTTCAAAAACTATAGACTGTCTCCTACTATTTTTAGGTCTGTAAACAAGTACATAAGCGAGATAATGAAAAGAACAGTAAATCTGGTGTTTAAGGACCTGTGTTCAAATCCTATTCCTGTCACTATTGTGTGGCTTTGGGCAAGTAATTAATCTCTCTGGGGTGCCTGTGGCAGATGCATAAGAATTACACAGTTTCTTGAGGATCTCACAATCTAGCTAAAGATTGGACATTGGCTCATCAGAGTAAGATGGTCAATGATTTTTCTTGTTTCTTTCAGAATTTTAGTCTTCATTCAACTTTGGAAGGAGTTTTCAGAAGACATAGGAGCTGGAATCAAATTCTAGGCTTAACTAGAAATCCCACAAAAGTATAATTCAGTTCAACAACAACAACAAACCCACTTATTGTTTAATGAGGGTTAAAGATTAGGGATCTGTCCCCATAAAATGAGTGCTTTTATTTTGATTGGCATCTCAGAGCACTTTTTAGGAAGAAAGATAAACTTTTCAGTTACATAAACATGGAGACTTCAGATACTCAGGTTTTTGTTTGTTTGTTTTTTTAATCCTTTCATGGGTTTTGGGCCCAGTACATTGATATTTCATTTCGGTGCAATCATTTATTACCAAAGTAAAAGAGAGACGAGAGATTAGCCATGCTTCTGCATGGCAACCTTGCTTGTCACTAAGCCAAATATATGCTTCTTGTAATTGCTGGACAGTAAATAAAATGGCTTTAATTATCGAAAGCTATTAAACCCCCTTTCACTTATATTTGCCTCCTTAATTTTCCTGGACTTTATATCTTCTTTCACAGGATTGGGCTAATTCTGAACTTTCCTGCCTCCATCACTTGATTTTCTCTTTGGGACAAAGAATTAAAATGCCCCCATCTGGTGGGTTAAACTCTTTCTTTAAAAAAAAAAAGCGCTAAATGATTTACTGTGTTCAATCCACCCAGCAGGATACTGAGATTTAAAGAGATTGTTGAATCCTGGTGAAGTTATTGCAGTCTCCAACCTTCACACACTCAGCATCGAAAACATTACTTTTAATTATATTACGAGAATTGTCCCACAAGTACTTCAGACACGTTTCTATTAACATTTGACAATATCTCAGCAATTGAAATGCATTTAATGAGATTAGAACACTAGATTGGAGCCTTAACAATTTTTGATGAAATTCTATTTTCCTTATTAATGCATTACAGAAGCTCTTACTTTGCTTGACTCACAACAAGTAATTTCTGGTCTTTTGCTAGTGATATACCCACTGCTGAGGCAGGAGATAATGATTAACGTGTATATGTTTATGTTATTTTAGTAGAAAATCCATGTGCCATTGGTAATGAATTGAAGGTTAAGTGACAATTTTTCTTTACAACCACTCATGTCCTACAGTCTGTGAACTGAAAACTAGATTAACCTTTAATTACCCTCAATGATCTCTCAACCCTGAGACATTACCACTCCTACCAGTAGTATTTGCATATACAATTTAATGAGAGAAACATCTGTTTGCATATTTGGTATCATTAATATTATGCAGATGACTAGATATTCACAATGTGATAGGCATTTGTGCTAACATCTCATTTTCTTTTTATTTCCAGGCTTTCTTCCTCCACCCACTGATTTTGTCTGACTCGTATTAATTAGAACTAGGGCTGACTGGAGCCAACAGCCTTGCATACAGAATGCACAAATGCTGTGTTATCAGAATAGCAGTAAAGTAATGCTGTGTTCCACTGGGCAGCTTGCTAAACATACATTTTACAGACCTTATGAAGGGTTTTGTTGTTTTTTTGTGTGGGTGAGTTGTTTTTTTTTTCAGACAAAAGCATTTGCCCTTTTCTTTCCAGTGCTGCTTTACTTTAAAGTGACAATACTCTTGCTTATTTATTTTTGTTAGATTCTCACTACTATCCAGTATTTTTTTTTCAGAATTAGTAACAGGGTGTTTAGAGCCAGAGGGGAGCTTAGAGATCATTTATTTCAATTGACTAATTTTAGAGAAGAGGCCGCGGAGGCCCACAAGTGTCTCTCCCAGAGTGGCACAGCCAAGCTGGGTTGCCATTCACTATAACATGCTGACTCTCTACACTAATCAAGTTTCGAGATATTTGGCCACAGGAATTAACCTTTCTGTCTTACTGATGTGTGGTGAATCTACATGTCTTTGCAGCCCAGTGGTCATTTTTAAAGGTGTAAGTGTTTAAGCTATATTGTACAATTATATTGCTAGACATCATAGATATGGATAGAGTGCCCAATGTCAGTTCAAATCCTGCCTTTGATACTTTCTATCTATAAAATAGATAGAAACACCTACCTCACAGGGTTGTTACGAAGCTCATGAAATAAAGTGTGTACAGAATAGCACCAGTTTTTATTGTTGGCGTATACGTCATTGTGGGACATGCTTATATATTAACTAACATATATTCTTTTTTTGTTCCAATCTGAAGATGAAAGAATTCTTAATGATCATCAAAACTCAAAGACTTTGATATGTTTTAAAGATAATTCTCCCCAATTGTATACATTAATAAAGACATACATTTTAAGTCCTAAATTTTAGCTATCACATATCTTCAACCACTAATGTTGAGCCAGTTGGTACTTGAACATTTTTCAACATAATAGACACACTGGGAATTATTTTAACACATCAACTCTAGGAACAGGTCTTCCAGTCGTGATGAAGGAAACAAACAGAGCATGGTGTCATGGAAAGAGCACTGAGGAGCAGCTAGACAGTGCAATGGATAGAGCACAGATGCTGAAGTCAGGAGGACTTGAGTTCAAATCTACCCTCAGACACTTACTAGCTGTGTGTCCCTGGGTTAAGTCACTTAACCCCAATTGCCAGGAAGGAAGGAAGGGAGGAAGGAAGGAAGGAAAGAAAGGCAGGAAAGGAAGGAAGGAAGAAAGAAAGCACATTGAACTAGAATTCAGAAGGTACGGTTTCAGGACTCCACTTGGCCACTTATTGGCAGTCTTACCTTGGACAAGTCACTTATTCTCTGAATCTCACTTTCCTTATCTGCAAAATAAGAGAAGGGAATTCATTATATGATCTCTAAGAAAGTGATGTTAAATAGAAACAGGGCCACTAAACCATACATAAGAATGCTTGTGGGCTGCATATACACTTACAAAAAAACATATTAACATTGTCTATGTTCTATTGAATTCTATTTATTTTGTTTAAAATCTCCCAATTACATTTTAATCTGGTTCAGACCTACTTAGGAATGTTGGGGACTAAGTGTTTGACATCTCTGCTCTAAGGTCCCTTCCAGCTCTTAGAGTATATTCAATGGTTTCCATGAGTGAGTGCAACCCCACTAATTCAAACTTAGTGGTAAAGGGAGAGGAAGTCATCTAAATCGATGAAAAAAGTCTGAATCACAAAATGATTTTTTAAAAAAAGAATCCAGTTTTATTAGTTTCCAGTACGTTCAATGAATAAATTAGGCTGTATTGTTTAGTAGAGATCTTTAGGTTACCCATTTAAATGAATAAGTAAGCATGTTTTATAATTTGTAAATGGATGTTCTCATAGTGCTTGAAATTAAATCAATTATTCTTGAAGTATTGTCATCATTCTCTCTATAATCTTATCTATTCTATTAATTAATATTATCTAGAACTGAACTATTTACTAAGGTAGACAGGAATTGAGCTTTGTATGAGAGGAGGAAATACACTGATGTATAGATCTGTAGGTCATTCAAGTAAATATCACCGAGTTATTTCAGCTCTCTGAGCCTCTGTTATCTTAAATGAGTTGGACAAGGTGGCCTCAAATTCAATTTAACTTAACAAATGTTTATCAAGCCCTATGTGTGAAGCACAGTGGTAGGCACTAGAACTGTCCAAAGCTAACATTCTATAAAGAAAGGATTTCTAAGTAAAGGAAAACCAATGCTACAAAATTCAAAATTATCACAATTTGAAAAGAAGTTGGATCTAAATTAATAAGATTTTCACGATTCTTCCTAAAGGAAGAGATAGAACATGACACATCAATTCATTATGCATTTACTGAGCACCTACTGTATACATGATTTTCTCATTTCCATCTGAACTACATTTCTGGGTAGCACAAGACCATGTTGTGAAATTATTTTGGGTGTGTTCCCTCTTTACTACTGTCTTAAAGGCAGCCTGGAAAATCGAAATTGGCTTTCATCCCTATGGGGACCTATCTTTAATTGAAACCATAGAACATTTTTTATTTTTCCTTTACATCATGGCCCTTGCCTGATTAGAGTATTCATTGTGCTTCTGCTTTGCTCTAAAATGCTTGCTCTGGCATGCACTGGTTTATGGGAAATAAAAACATTCTGTTTAAGCTATGAAAGGAAACCATATGTTATGGGATACAGTGACTAACTGGGCAGCTAAATGAAGAGATTGGACTTCTGTAAGAGAATGAGAACATTTGTGATTGCTATAGGGAAGGTAAATTGGTGGATCCTCTTATCTGGGAGGAACAAAGAGTCTGCCTCCAACTTGGGAAGAGGAGAAAAAACTGCAAGAGATTAGCCATAGGAAAACGCTAGGTCAATACCTATAAAGAATGACTCATTTTTAAAAATGCCTTCCTCCAAAGGTTTCTGGTTTCTGGTTAAGAGATCACCTGGGTATCTTTTCAAGAACAACAATGCTTCAAACTTCCTTCTTCAGTTTCCTTATTTTTAAAATGGGGCTAATGCTTGTCTTCTAGGATTGTTGTGAAAATCACACATGAAAGCAGCCAATGACTTATGAAGTGTGATAGATGTGTAAGGTACCATTTTTATTGTTGTTCAGTTGTTTTTAAATTGTATTTAACTCTGTGACCCATGTGGGATTTTCTTGGTAAAGTTACTGGAGTATGTGCCATTTCAGGGTTAAGTGACTTACCCAGGGTCACACAGCTAGCTAAGTGTCTGAGGCTGGAATTGTCCTTGGGGAGATGAGTTTTCCTGACTCCAGGCCCTGAGCTCCTTGCACTATGGTGCCCTCTAGCAGCCCAAAGGTATCATTAGTATATTTTATTAAGCTGATCAGGAAGATATAATGGATGGGGTGATGGCCATAGAGTCAGGAAGGCCAGAATTCAAGTCTCACCTCTTAGTTGTGTCATCCTAGGCAAGTCAGTTAATCTCTCAGTGTTCCAGGCAACTTTATAAGACTATAATTTGCATTTCTAGAAAGTTCCCTCATCCAGTAATTCTCTATCTCACCAGGGTAATCAGGGCGGAGGGAAATATCTTTTTATTTAAATTTTCTTTCTCTTTTAAAAATAATTAATTAATTTCTTCTTAGTTTTCAACATTCACTTCCATAAGATTTTGAATTTTAAATTTTCTCCTGCTCTCTCTTCTTCCCTCTCCCCAAGACAGCTTGCAATCTGATATAGGCTCTACTTATACTCATATTAAATATATTTTCACATTGTCATGATGTAAAGAAGAATTAGAACCATGAGAATGAAACAATAAAACAAAACAACAAAAGAAAAGAAAAGCAAATGATATGTTTCCATCTGCATTCAAACTTCATAGTTCTATCTCTGGACATAAATATTATTTTCCATCATGAGTCTTTTGGAGTTGTCTTAGATTCTTGCATTGCTGGGAAGAGCTAAGTCTATCAAAGTCAATCGTAGCTCATTGTGGCTATTACTGTGTACAATGTTCTCCTGGTTCTGCTCACTTCACGAAGCATCAGTTCATATAAGTCTTTCCAGGTTTTCCTGAAGTCTGCTTACTCATCATTTCTTATAGCACAATAGTATTCCATTCCATTCATATACCAAAACTCGTTCAGCCATTCCCCAATTGATGGGCATCCCCTTAATTTCCAATTCTTTGCCACCACAAAAAGAGCTGCTATAAATATTTTTGTACATGTGGGTCCTTTTCCCATTTTTATGGTCTCTTTGGGATACAGCCCCTAGAAGTAGTATTTCTGGGTCAAAGGGTATAGACAATTTTATAGCCCTTTGGGCATAGTTCCAAATTGCTCTCCAAAATGGTTGGATCAGTTCACAACTCCACCAACAATACATTAGTGTTCCAATTTTCCCACATCTTCTCCAGCATTTATCATTTTCCTGTTTTGTCATGTTGGCCAATCTGATAGGTGGAGAGCATCCTTATACCAGGCATTTGGTTTCAAGACAATTCCAGTTTTACTGAAAGGTCTGTGCTTATCCACAGCTAGTCTTTGCCTCCTCAGTGGGATAAAGCATTTTGTTTGCATCATAATACAAAAAACATCCCTGTTGACCAATAACAGGTCAGAAGTGGTTGATTGAAACCCTCTTTAGGAGGTGCCAACTTTGCCTTTTCCCTTTCCAATTCATACTCCACACAATGATCTTCTAAAATATAGACACAGCCACGTCACTCTTCTACTCGAACACCTTCAGTGGTTCCCATTGTCAAGTGGGTACTTAAAGCCCTCCAAAGTCTGGGTTCACCTACCTTTGAGTCTTATTTCACGTTTCTCCCCTTTACACATTCTCCATTCCAATCAAACTGGATTATGAGCTGTTTCCATATTTGACAGCCCACCTCTAACATACCTGTACATTTGCACAGGCTGTCCTCCAGTTTAAAGCATCTTCCCCACAGTTTAAAGCATCTAACTTCTTTCAAAGGATTGTGCTCAGACTCCATCTTCTACATAAGACCTTTCCTGACATCCCTACCCGCCCAAATTATAATTGCTCTCTACCCCTTAAAATGGCATTGTATGCACTTTGTGTTTACTTATCTCTATACAAGATGTATCCCCCCTCCTCCCTCCTCCCTAATAACATAGAAAGTCCTTGAAGGTCAGAAATATTTCAGTTTTTTTCTTTGCATTCCTAGTATCTAGCACAGTGCCAGGCAACAGTAGGAATTTAACAAATGTTTGTTGAATTGAATCAAGTGGAATGCCAATAGGATCTCCGAAGTGGGGGATGCCTAATTTTGGTTGCTTCCAAACTTGGAGTCATCCTTAACTCTTCACTCTCTCTCATAACAAAAATCTAATTAGTTGCCCATTTTGTCAATTCTAGCTCTGCAACATCTTGCAATTGTCTCCTCTGTACTTGAATGACCATTATCCTCCTCCGGACATATTATCTCCTGCCTGCAATAAAGCAATGGTCTCTTAATTGGATTCCTAGCCTCCAGTCCCTTCCTTCCTTCAATCCATCCTCTATACAAATGCCAAAATAATCTGCTTAAAGCAAAAATCTGATGATGTCACTCTTCTGCCCAAGAATCCTCAGAGGCTCCCTATTGCCTGGGATAAAACACAACACTCAACTTGGCATTTAAACCCCTTCAAAATCTGGCTCCAGACCATCTTTCTTTTCTTTGCATTTAATTTTTTCTTGTTTATTATGAACTTGAACATTTTGGTATTTAAAGGAGAACAAAAATAATTGTATACAAGGCTGTAAATTTCTGTTGTGTGTTTTTAAGTGCATATTAATTTTAACATGGTGGTAATAAACTGTTCTGCTTATCTGTATCCCTTCCTGAAACTCTTTTTTTTTTTTGCTGAGTATTTCTAAAATGTTTCATCGATAGGCTTATATTTTTTTTCTTCTTTTGCATTTCTATCACAACTCATCAACTCCCTTCCCCCACCCCAATATGAATCCTCCTTGTGACAAATAAGTATAGTCAAGCAAAACAAACCTATTGACCATGT